TTGCTGCGTGGCCCTATATCCGTAAATCGACAAAATCAACTAATATATCAATAACTTTATAACGAAACAGCATTATGATTAATAGCTCGCTAGCTTAAGCAAATCCTGATATCTTTGCAATAATATCTTTGCAAATTCATCATGTCAAATATGAGGCAAAACCATAAATGAACCCCAAAACGTATTATCCAAGAAAACACCGACCAGTTATCATTGCGAGGGATCGTCTGGAGGAGCAGGTACCGTTACATTTATGGTTAGATGGTTAGACATTTAGACCAGCGGAAGTTATTTTAGACAAGATTTAGAAAAGCCGTTCCTTCTCCCCATCTACATACACCAAGGGTCATCGCAGCCAAAAACAATTTTAAGCAATGGTTGTGCAAGTTTGTGTAATTTATTAGTCACGGCGATCCACAACATATCATATCTATCTTAGTTATTCGTACTAAATTTTCCTTGATAAATCAATCACCACTTCGTTCTGTCTATATTGGGATTTCCGCAGAACACGTGGGGAAACACCGAGCAATGCCCTCCTCATACCGTACCAAATGATTCCCAACAATGATACACTAAGTAGTGAAGGACCTCCCTTAGTCATCATTAGTAACAAGTATTATAGAAACAGAGTTTACATACTCTGAGTAATTATTAAAATATGTGTATAAAATAATCTTTAATTTTTAAAATCAAGCGTTTCAGATTATGGTGTTGGCATAAATGAAGTAGAAATTTAAATTGTTTATAGTGCTAATCTTTGCACTTAAGATTGAACATTAAAATATGTAGAAAAAGTGCGAAAATATTGTCGCCGCTGTGGGAATCGAACCCACGTCTTCGGCATTCGCGGCCTGACGCTCTAGCCACTGAGCTAAACGGCTGATTACCACACCAACGAAAATCTTAACGCATTCTTCTACATTGTTTTCTTAGTAATGTTTGGCGCCATCTATTGTTATATGCTTTCCAGCATACAAACAACTTCGAATATCGTTTTACAACGATAATTCGAACGAGAGATGTCGATTCCCACAGCGGCGACAATCTTTTCGCACTTTTTCTACATATTTTAATAAATGAAGTAGTTTTAAAAAGTTAGAATACAATTAGTGTTTATAAAAGGCTTCAATTCACAAGATAGTGTTATTCTACAGGAGTAATGCTTTTACTCAAAACAAAAATGTAAAGTCCTGTTAGTAACTTTTGATTGACCTGTGGTAGGGCCACGCAACAATCTTCGCTGTTGCACAAATGAGCAGGTCCGTTCGGGGAAGTACCACGATCTCACAGAAGACCTGAGTGAAGTAGAAGTGTTACACTTCTGTATTTCGTCTGGTGAGTGGTGGCAACGCATCTGCAACCCTACGGGAGTTACAAATGTCCATGGGCGGTGGTCATCACTTAAGATTGGGCGAAACACCAGCATGCCTGCCATCTTCTCACATTAAAAAAAATCATAATTTTGATACTGATATTTCACTACTATTTAAATTGGTACTGTCTATTCCTTTTTAAATAGCCAATTTCTCTTTTCTTCCTACCTAGTATGAGCTTCCTTATTTTCGTTTCAGCTAGTGCGTTTATCCACGAATGCTTAACGACTTGTTTTCAAATAGTTAATAAAATTTCGCTATAATCGATATTGCCCCGTAATTATTATAAAGAATTCCGACACCCGTCGACCGCAGACATTGTAAAATAAAACCTTTAAATAATTCAGGGCGGACATGTTTGCAAGTGTCGATAAAACGGCAACAGTTATAACAGTAAATCTCGTTTTTTCGGGTACGTTGTACCAGATTCTAGATTTTTATCAAGGTCCGATGTGGCTCAGATACGTTGCGACGTGGGCAATAACTTTTTTATCGGGAAAGATGAGTAGAAATACTAAGAAGTATCTGCGTCTTTTTGGATGATCGGTCATGTCAACTAGACAGGAGTAGTTAAGTCAGTATGACGAAGTTGGAGCATCCTACAAGTGTTCGTCCAGTTGTCGAACCGTCGACCGTAATAATTCTTAAAAGTTAGATGAAAACATTATAATTCATAACATCGGATCAATCTATAACATCGGAGCCCGGAATACACTCAGAGACCTTTTTAAAGAGATTAATATACTCACGCGTCTCAATATATTTATTGTAACATTTTGTATGTTAAAAATAATATTAATAGTTATCTAAAGAATAGTGACAGACATAAACTAAATACTAGAAATAAGGACAAACTAACTACGCCATTGTTTCGTTTACAAAAAGTAAACTTTTTTATCATGGGGCAAGGTGTGCGCATGTATAATAAAATCCCACAGTCGATATTAAGTCTGCCACTTGATGAATTTAAACGAAAAATTAAAAGTAAACTTATGGCTAAAGCCTATTATTCTATTGCTGAATATCTTGACGACGCCAATGTGTGGGGTTAATACTGTTGATACTCACGTAGGCTAAAACAAGACTATTGTACATGTACTATTATATTGTTAACTGATTTTTTTTTTAAAAAAAGAGCAACTGTTGAGTTTCTTGCCGGTTTCTTCTCAACAGAAACTGCTTTCCGAACCGGTGGTAACTTACGAACGTGTTCATTTCTTGTAAAATTTTGACGTTTCATAAGAACGCGCAAGCGTCTATGTGAATAAAGATATTTTTATTTATTTAAAAAAAAAAATATGTTTTTAATTTCTCTTTGTATGTCATTTTCACTGTATATCTGACACCATCCTTTTTGTGTGGATCATACTTAGTAGGTCTGTACTATAATAAAGAAATTTTGATCGATACCCTTAAATTTACACGATAGAACTTATTTAAAAAGAAGAAAATTAGTTGGCACGGTAAAAATCATTCAAGCATTCCGTCTTGACCTGACTATCATCTGTATTTTCTTAAGTACGTTTGCATTTTAACGTGGATATATTTACTTAACATAATATTTGTAATAATAACAGTCAATGGAGGAGGCCTATGTTCAGCAGTGAACTCAAACAGGCAGAAATGATGATGATGATGATGCGTATTGATCGGTCAGAACATAAAGGTATGATCACCAAAAATCACAATTTAATAGGTAATGCAAATATGCGAGCATGTCAAAGAGTGTAACATCACGATGGTCATCGACAGTTTTATGTCAATAGATGTGATAATAGTTATTGAAATCGCCCTAGCAAATGAGCTTATGCTTTTTCAATGAACACGATGCTTTTATATATATAAAAAGTTATATGTCATAAAGACATATTTTTCTTGCTAGATATATAATTTTTGAATTCATTTATTTCAGTCTATAGTTCAATTTTCAAAGAAAATTATACATATTTTAATTTTTTTCATATTGTCCCCCTCGTATTAAGTTTCTTTTAACTAGATCCGTACCTGGAAATGCGTTGCCATACCGAATTAAGGCAGAGGTATAACTAAACAGATGGTTTAGATAGACGTAAAGGTAGTTGACATCAGCTTGATAATTATGGCGGCGGAGCGGCGGCGATTGAGCAAGGAGCCGTTTTGAATTGAATGAGGTGCGAGGACGCCGACGATAATCTGGGAGTCAAGGACTCAAGGCTGTCGCCGGCTGAATTTGAGCGTATTTGGTTTTCGTGTCACATCCCTCGCGGGGCAGCCGAACTGCGCTTGCGGGCGCGTCGGCAGGAAAAGCATAGGCATAAGAGATCACAAACATTTTTTTTTCAATTGTTTTTTCATAACTGACTTATGTAATCTGTGGTATATATGGTATAGAATATAATTAGAATGATTAATTATTACAACCATCGTCAAATTATTTATTTTGAAGAGTTGCTAAGTAGTCTCATACTTTTCGGATATTTCGCCACACCACGCCCTCACAAAAGACTGGCGTGCGCGTGAGTGGAAGTATATACTGAAACGAGTCAGATATTGTAGACGTCCATGGGCGGCGGTAATCACTTAACATCAGGTGAACCGTCTGCTTGTTTGCCAGAATTCACATAAAAAAAGTTCGATTTATTTTTGATTGTATATTATGTTGTAAGTTACAGTTAAGTATATATCTTAAACCTGTATAATTTAGAGTAAAGCGACTGTTACTTGCGTTATTCCAATAAATAAATAAATAAGTATGTAATAAAATAAATGTTCTTGTTGATATTAGGGTGGTATTTAATTTATGATTATAGGTGGTTTAGAATTGAAGTGAAGAAAGCAACGACTGAGCTGCGGACGGTACCTGAACGCTCATTGGGGATTCCACGGGCCCCGCGGAGCGTCCCAGCGATCGTTTATAAAAGAGCGAAATAGAATGAAAATTTTCGCATTCCGACGTTTTTTGCGAAAGCTCCTGGTGTACTGTGAAGTTTCGTGAACGCAAAGTTGTCCAGTTTGCCCAGTGTTGCCAATGTGAACTGACTATTATTTTATCAAATTAATTAATTTATTTATCTGTTTCTTCAAATCGGTGAGCAGCTTTTAATTGTTTTTATTTTTATAATTATAAATCAATTTATTGAAAATTAAAAAATTAATGAGAGTTTTGTTAAACTATAATAATATCTGTTGTAATATAAGAAGAAGAAATGAAACAAAGTTAATACACAAATTAAGGATTTTGAATGAACTTGGCAATGTGCCGTTTAATAAAGTAGTAAAGAAGTAATAAAGAAAATTATTACTGTACAGTGTACACATTAAATATTTTGAAAAGCGTTGCAAGAGCGCGATTTACCAATATTTTTGTACAATTGTTTGGAAAAAAGGCGGGAAATCTTCGGTATTCCGCTGCTTCGAAGTCTTGCAGTTTTAAGATTGCATAATATCATTTGTTAAAGCCCAATATACATTGTATAGATTTTAGACTGCTATATATCTTTATATATATTTCTGTTTAATACATAACAAAAACATTCAAGATTATTTAACCACCACCAACTTAATTTTCAAGTCTTTTTTTTACAAAAGCTTTAATAGATAAACTTGAGTTACGAAGTGAATTTTTCAGTCATACACGTCTCCAAAATGGCGTTGAGGATACTAAGGACTTTAGCCCTGGTGCTAAGTGCGGCATGCGTATGTCGGTGCATGCCTGCTGACGACATCGAGATGGAACTACGGAGCGGAGTCCTTATTAAGATGCTGAGGGTAAGTAATGATAGAAATATTTTTTTCACTCTATGAACCTCGGTCTATTTGGTATATCAGTTAAAAAAATCAAAACCGGCCAATGGTTGGACTCGCACAGAGGGTTCTATACCATCACTACATAGTATAAAACAAAGTCATCCCGCTGTCTGTCTGTCCATATGTCTGCTTAGATCTTTCAAACTACGCAACGGATCTTGATGCGGTTTTTTTTACTAGATAGAGTGATTCAGAAGGAAGGTTTATATATGTATAATACATTGCACCCGCGCGAAGCCGGGGCGGGTCGCTAGTTATCTATAAAAACGGCAAAAAAAATCATGACTGTTGTCTGGGGGCCCCACTTAAATATTTTTTATTCTGTTTTTCAATATTTTTTGTTATAGTGACAATACATCATTTGTGAAAATTTCAACTAACTATCACGGTTCATGAGTTACAGCCTCGTGACAGAGGGGCAGAAAGACAGACAGAGGAGTCTTAGTAATAGGGTACCGTTTTACCCTTTGGGTACGGACACCTAGAAATGAAGTCAAGCTTCTGAATTTGAAATTGAATATATAAGGGTTTATTTTCTATATCTTATAGAGCAATCGTGAAAATATTTTCTTCAGAAATCATTTAAGGGCAAGCAGATAAAAGGTTTAGTGTCAGATGAAATGTTGACTCTTCGCATGAACAGGATGTCGAAGTTACATTCTTAAATTTAAGACGTTTTTTATTTTTAAACTTTTCATGCATGTATATCATTTGCACTTTTAAGTGAGCATAAGTTTTAATTTGAATACGTTGTTGCCCCTGCGTTGGTATTTGTGAAGGCTACCTCAGTTTATGTTATCTGTATCGGGCGCACGTGTCAATGTGTCCAAGTGGTATCAGATTCACGAAAATAAATTTGCGAACAATGGCCCGAGCTCCCGTGCGATTGGACGCGTGTTAATGAATCGCCTTACGACGCATTCCGATGTGGGACTTACGAGGGGAGATTGATGTTATGTCTCGTAGTTACGCAACAAATGTTTTTAATTTATTTTGCCAGCTTGTTAAGCAAGTTTTAGATGTTTCGGTGCGTCGGTTCGGTTCTCACTCTGGTACCCTAAGTCGGCGACACAAATATTTGACTATCTTCTTTACCAACCAAGTGGTGGTTAACAAAATAGTCAACTTAAAATATAAAGAAGGTTACTGTTAAAAAAGTTATATTCAGAGAATCGGAATGGTGTCCGCGTATGAGCTTTTAATTTTATATTTTTTTACGCACAAAATGCGACACACGTTCGTGATTGTTGAATGGTGACAGACTTATTGCTTGACATGTTTAATCTTAATAAACTGGGTAAAAAGCTTTGTATAAGGTTTATTTTTTTTAAATCTCAATAATTTATAGTAATGGACGAGTATGTACTATATGCTGTGCTGACGTAATAAATAAATGCATATATCTATTAGTCATCCCAGTCACAATCAAATGCGTGCATCTCAATCAAAAGATGATAAAAAGCGAAGTTAATTGATGAATCGACGAAAATGATAAAAGGCAAATTGGAAACCAATCGATTAAAGAAGCGTACCGGATGTACTGCGTCTTTAATTTTAGTTAAAAACTGATAAAAACATATTAATCAACACAAATTGGTCGTCAAAAGAATAGATAAAATATATAAATAGTTCTTATGTCTTTTTAAATCTTATAAAGACGAATATTCCATCAATTTTGCCTGCCCCCGCTAGTTGTTGTGTCCACATGTGATTCATGATTTTAGTAGCTAGGTTGTTTGCAATCGGTGAGCTGCCTCAGGTCAACTTTCCTGCCCAGTGAATATTTAAATCCTTAACACTTGTGTCGGTCACGAAAACACTTGTCTCGTGTGGGAATCGAAACGACCCCCGAGGTCTAGACAATTTTAGCACATGTGACACCGAATCATTGTTTAGTTGTAAGATGAAAAGGATGATCTAAGAAAGGAGATCTTACTCTTAATAATTTCTTATACTGTGGCAGAGCCCGCTTTCGTCGTTGCACTATTAGGTTGGCCCGTCTGGGATTATACCACGGATCTAAGAACACCTGTGTATAGAAGTGGCTATTTATACTATTAGTTTCTTTTCGTTGTTAAGTTAATCGAGCGGCATTGTCTAAAAGAAGTACCAAGGTTGTCGTAAACTATCCTGGATGCCGGTAACCGTTCAATATACGGGGACTATCTTCTTTCATAAAAGAGGAATATTAGCATGTTATGGCAGGTATTTTATTATGACTATTCTCAGAAAGATAAAAATAGAATCGAAATATTTCATTACAAACAGATGTATACCAACTTATTTGATTTACTCAATACTTAATAAAAATTATTGCACTACTCAGTACTTAAATGTGATGTTTATAGGTACATGTAATTATTTAGAATTTTACCAATCATATATGGGATTTGAACAAAAAAACCTGTAAGAGTTAATAATGTACTTGAAACGAACAGTAATACATTAAACTAGAAGCGGAAAGTCTGGTATTGGGCTATATGACCCGCTTAACCAACAGATTTTAGAATGAAAATGACGATGAATGGAAAGTGGGAACAATTAATGCGTTCGCGCCACAAGTTTATATTCCGATGTAACGCGTCCGGCGATTGAAGATAATTTGCTTACAATGAATCGCTTTGCAATTTAAATGTTGCTGATCGAGAGCCACCCGAGGGATAGGCAATAACCGCTGAACATTCGAAGTCCTGGGTTCGAGAATAAAACAGTCGATTCTAATTCATCATTCTACATTTTTTAATAAATGCTTGTATTCTGGCAAGGATATAACAATGGATGCGCCAAATGCTAAAAAAACAATGTATATAAAAGACATTAAGATTTACGTCAATCAGCCGTTTAGCTTAGTAGCTAAAGCGCCAGGGCACGAATCCCGAGACGTGGATACGATTCCCACAGCGGCGAAAAACTTTTCGTACTTTTTTCTACAAATTTTTATAATAAATTTATAATAAATGCATTAAGGTAGATTCATAAGAAAATTTCGCGAACTTCTATGCTAAACATATTTATGTACATTCTCTCATTCTCTAACTGACACTTTTTGATAGTTTTTGTAAGCGGCATTAAACTAGACTAATCTAACAGAATCGCACGATTCTATGACTTAGGAAATCTTCCGTTTTTTAATCTCTTCCGTTTTGATAGAAACAATCTTTTTTTTTTTTTATTAAAAAGCATTTTTTCTTACGAGAGCGTACTTAATGCACGCTATTTATAGATATATCACTGTCATTCTTTAAATTTTTTTTGAAGCCTGGTCACCATTTTCCTCGCTGGATTAAATCCATTCGTACGGGTATGCATGCTCGAATGAATCAGTCGACGGATTGACACTTGCCAGTTTATATTTTTGAGAAAAATATTATTTTACTTTTAAATTCGCTTCGCTTCATTAATATGTAATTGGGGTCCGTTTTAAGTATTCAGATATGGTACGAGATTTATTATCGCACTTTGTACGTACTCTGTGAGTAATCTGTGTGAATGGCGACATCTTTATAGCTGGTTGTTTACCTCACTCCAGATTACAATATGGAACAAGAAATTGGTAATGATTTGCTTCTATGTTTCTGTAATTGTTTGGTTGTCGTGTTCAAGTAGTACATTTTATGTGAATAACTCACCTGTACCGTACTGACCATACTGGACAATATTACTTTAAATCGACAGTAATCGTCTTTAATAGAAAAGAGTCTAAAACACTTCATGACATAATATGGCATTGAGAAACTTCATATTCATAAGTTTCTTAGCAAGCAACACATGATTATACTTAACAAAATCGTTAAGTGAGAAAGAGGGAATCGAAAATATCGGTTGACAAAAATAATTCTGATATTTTCAGAGCTCCATTTTCAAAAATATTTAACATAGAATATATAAATTCGATCTTAGAAACAGCGGAGGAAGGCCGATTTTTCAATCAACTCCAATAAGAGGAAGTTCTCAAATCCGTTATATCTATTGTTCTGTGTTTAGAATCTCAGAAACCCTTTATTTATGAATCAATTACAAAATGTTTTGTATATTAATTAAAACACACTTGAATAGGAAAACAAAGTTTTCGCAATTGATTAATAATGGTCTTATCTGAACATACATATATGTATGTATTGCTATTATATGTATGTACATACATACGATTTGAATATTTGTTTGTAATCCTTTAAACAATTTATCGAATATTATGTTATATGTTATTTAAATTGTTATATATTATATAAAAGTAAACATTGGAAATTATTATATATTTTTTTCTATTTATAATAAATTGTTAGAAAGTTATAATATCTAATATGTAAAATTCTCGTGTCACGGTGTTTGTAATTGAACTCCTCCGAAACGACTCGACCGATTTAGTGAAATTTTGTGTGCATATCGGCCAGCGTGGAGAATTGTTCAACATCTATTTTCACCCCCCTAAATGTTAAGGGTGGTCCACCTCAAACATTTTTTTCTACCCTGCAAATAATTATATGGCAAAACAACGTTTGCTGGCTCAGCTAGTTATGTTTATAAAATCGTTTGTTCTGATTTATTATCGACGCACGGCCAAAACTACTTTGGCAAGAAAGCAGAAATTTGAAGCATAGGTTTTTTTTTCAACAATTGAGCGTCTGTTTTAAATCTCCTTTTTAATATTCCTTAATTTTCTTTCACATAACTTTCTATACCTAAATTGTGTTGTTTTAGGAAATGGTGAACCAGACGAAGGCAGACACGATGAACCTTCCAGCGAATTCGACATCCATTCGAGAGAACATCACTGACACTTTCAGGCAAGTACCTTAAGATGGCGTCGGGGGTCGTGGGTTCGATTCGCACACGGGACAACTATTTGTGTGACCCACAGATAGTTGTTTCGCATCAGGGTGTTTGTCAGCGTGAAATTTATGTTTGTAAAAGATCCTTACAACACAGTATAATGTTATCCAAAAGTAAGGAATCATTTCTATTTCTAATATCCCGGAATGTAAGAGCCTATAACTTCGCAACTGCGCTGACTGAACTATATAAACAATAGCTTTACGAGTAAATGTTGTTCTTAACATGATACCGTTAATACTACAGCGTAATCTTCTTATACATAATTAAAAAAGGATTGCTGTTCGTTAGTCTCGCTAAAACTCGAGAACGGCTGGACCGATTTGGCTAATTTTGGTTTTGAAATATTTGTGGTAGTCCAGGGAAGGTTTAAACGATGATAAATTATGGAAAAATTGCCTGGAAAATCGAAATAGCAACAATTTTATTTTCCCATACAAACTGTACATCATAATGCAATCTATTGACGATTTGTTTAAATTATTTTTCTTTATTTATTTGAATATTTACAACATTAAATTTATCTAAATTACATATTATCTAATAAACTTAATCCACGCGGCATGGTGCCAAGAGCACTAGCTTCCTCTCTGAATAGTTATGCCTAACCTTTGAGTGAGAAAGGAATCAGCCCTCTTGCTACGACCACCTTTCAAAAATTTCGATGTACGGGGACCCCACGGACCTAAAGTTTCATATTAAATAAGTACGAGTGTGCAGTATAATATGCATTACCAAGTTATTACTTCATATTCTATTGCAGCTGCGAGAATCGAACTTATGGCTACTACGCGGACGTGGACAATGAGTGCCAGATTTTCCACGTGTGCCTGCCTTCGCAGGCCCCAACCGGTAGAAACATGACGTACCGTTGGAGCTTCATATGCCCTGCAGAGACCGTGTTTAATCAAGTGAGTATAATGGAAAACTGTTACATTTTATTATGATTGCCATGCTCCCTTAAGTTTTATGCCCTGTGCCAAAGATTTTCTGTTATAATATTTAATACTTGCGAGTAGATTTCTTTTAATTAATTGCATTCAATCCCATATGAGTACGCAACAATAACATATATGTATATAAAATATTGTATTGTAGAGTATGACTTTAGTCCATTTTTTTCTGCAGGAAGTTTTGACTTGCACCAGACCACGTGACGCCATTGCCTGCGAAGATTCCCCAATGTTTTACGACGTAAACATGGAGTTCGGGAAAGTTTCTAATAACAGCAAGGCGCAAGCGGCACCAGAGTCAAAACCAGAGTCTGAAAGTGAACCTTCTAATAGTCCTGCATCCAATACAGAGGCGGTAGCATCTACACCCCAGAGATGGAACCAAGCAAACAGGAAGAAACAAAATATCGTCGCGCAAACTTTTCTCAAAGATGGCAACATTAAATCAAGAAAGCAAGACATTAAAGATTACGGGAACAAAATTATGGAAGCGATAAAAGAAAATATTAAAGACTACAATCATAATGTAGTGCTAACGATGAATCAAGAATTTAGTGAGCTTAACCAAGGAATACAGGGCCTAAAAGAGGAAATAAAAGAAGTTGAAAAGGATATTATTAATGAAACTGATGAAATAAAAGAAAGTGAAAAAGAAAAAACGCAGACGATAAAAGATAACGTTAAAGAGATCATACAAGATGAAGAAGTCATGGATAATATTAAAAGGATTATTACAAATGAACTGAAGCAGAGTGCAATGCAATCGGACGGCGAAATCCAACCGAGCGAGAATGAGCAGACCGTGGAACTGCCTCCTAGTGTATTGAGGAACATAGAAGCGATGAACTAAATATGTTTTTTTTTTAATGTAAAAAAAATGTTAAATGTTTGTAATATATGTTAACCCTAATATATACGAGAAGTGTAAGATCAAATATCAATGTAAAATATAATTTGTTACGGATCTAGTAAAAGTCATGAATGATCAGTACGTTGTGCTATGGATTCTTTTAGTAACTTGTAAATAGGCATTTTTAAGAAATAAAATTATACGTAAGAAATAAAAAAATGTGTCGTATTTATTGTTCCTAATTAAATGGGTATGATGTAACAAGTTTAGTTCCGTTAAGAGACATTTCATTATTTATAATATTCTAGGGATAGGCACCCACTAGGTATCACTAAAATTGCTTCCAATTACTCATTCGAAAAATGTATTATGAAGCATTTGTACACAAAGTACCTCAAGTAATAGTAACATTTCATAACGCAAAGTAAAAAAAAATCACGTAATCCTTTTATGAAGAAACGTAAGCTTCTAGTAAAAATGTTAATAAAGTTCAAATTAAAAATGAAGAAAAATAAACTGAACATATCATAAAACGAACTTACAAAAACTGAAGAACAAATATAAAAATATACAGTTCTTTGGGTATTTTTTTAGAAATCAATATATTATATTTCACTAAAATACCTCGGGGTTTAGATGGAAAAACCCGTTGTTTTGAATAATAAAAAAAGTAACGCAATGTTAAAATAAAATGTTTTAAAATTAAACTTCAATAAACCTTATACCACTAGTGCTTTACACAGTTTCTGTGTAAAGCTTTAACATCATACTTAATTATAAACGGCAGTCAACGCGACCAACGATTTATAACTATCTGAAAAGTAATTTTACTATTCTTATCGCTGGAGTTAATAACATTTTCACATGCTTGAGTTCAAATCGAAATGTGGCTTTCGATTAGAACGGCTACTTCCCATTACGTATTTGCGGATAATGCGTGCAGAGTGAATGGAGATGACTTAACTACATTTTCAATGAAAATGCACGTCCGCATACTGTTATTGCTCTGCGCCTATATCAATTTAATAAAATCTGATTTATACGACAGCGACGAAGCGAAGTATATAGATTTGCTGCCAGAGCAGGAAAAACGAGAATTTCTTGACAGGATTGCCAGGAGAATTATAGCGGAAATAAGAACCCGGAAAACGGCAGAAAAGACTAGTGTTGAAATTTCCGATGAAAGGCTAAATGAACACGCTGCGTATGTTAAAAAAATAATGGACGAAGAATCTGAAAATATTAAAACCGGACAGAGAATAGACAATTATTTTAAAAGCGAGCATACTGAAGATGATGATTTAGATGACGTGAAAGTAAAGCCTCTTCAAAAAAATGTTCTAAAAGATCAGGATACACTAGATAACATAGATTTATCTGAAAAAAAGGTAAGGATAAAAAAAGGTACGCCTGATGATAAAAATAGTCCAAAAGGAAATATCATAAAAGAAAAAGAAGTGGTTTCAGTAATACCCGTACAGTTACTCTATAATGATGAGATAAATTTACAAAATACAGTTACAAGCAGAAATAACGATATTACAGAAGATGTTGTTGATAACAACAAGGATATAAAGGTGTTACCGTTTGGAGAACTTGAATTATCGAAGTTGGGCAACAACAACCAAGACTCGTCAGAGAAAAATAGTAAAAAGAGCAAAAAAATAATAATCAATTTAAATAAAGAAACAAAAGAAAGGGAGTCGGAGGATGAAAACATGAAAAAAATGTCGACTTAAACAATTCTCAACCGCTATTAGGAATTAAAGGACAATTAGGGGGAAATAAGTTGGAAAAGGTTGATACAATTTCTCCTAACAAATTGATTGAATATGATTTCAAAGTGACAGAAACGTATTTGCAGCCGGCAATCTCTGTTGGAGATGTTCACTTGGCGTTAAATAGTAGTTTTGTAACTATGGATAATATTGATGATACCACGAACAAAAACCGACTCGTCTCTAGAGAAGAGAAATATAAAGGTAGATCAGGCGACTACGTTCTAAAAAAATTAGAAAGCACAGAAGTTGACACTTCTACTAACCCCGTTTTAAGAGAAAGACAAAAGGACTGGCGTGATAATACTGATCAACATCGATTTAAGAAAAACCCTGACTCATTTACGTCAAACGATAATCGTAATATTAATCGTTTTGAAAATTTTGAAGTCCGTAAGTAGTTGTTACAGTTTTCTTCACACCAACAGTTTATAATTTATAGAAATAGCTAGTTATTATATTATATACTAGCGACCCACTCCGGCTTAGCACGGATGCAATGCTGAATGTTTGTTTTCGACATTGCATTAGAAGCCTCTAAAATTATCAGTGTTTCTCTAATATATTCATCCATAGAATTATATACACTTATTATATTAACCTTCCTCGTGAATTACTCTATCTATTAAAGAAAACCGCATCAAAATCCGTTTTTTTAAAGATCTAAGCATATATATAGGGACAGACAGACAGCATGACGACTTTGTTTATACTATGTACTATGTAGTGATTCGTAAACATAACATATGGAAAGTAAATAATTTACTCGTAAATCATATGAAGTCATAGTTTCAGTGAACTTATGGTTCCAGTGTAATTAAAATTAAAACTTGTTATTTATCTTAACTTAAATATATATGGTTAGTTTAAACATATTTTTTTTCAGAAGGCAACAAACCTCCTACGGTTTCATCTAAACAAATATATACTGATGTTGACGGAGAACAGTACTACGTTCCAGTGTATAATTTTGCTCCAAATAATGCGTTTTATAGTGCATACAATCGATTTGGACCTAATTTTCTGAAAAATGGCCACCTGTTAAAAAATAGCAACCCCTATTATTACAATAATATGATAAATTATGGAGTTAATAAATTTAATTTTGAACCAAAATACGGACGAACTCAGTCGAATAAGAAAAACGGAAGTGTAAAAAATAGAGGTCAGAGAAAATTCAAACATTATCGAAACGGCGAAATGTATCAAAAACAAAAATCTTACCAAAACAACTTCCTGCCGGTCTTAAAAGAAAGATTAATAAACATCGATTTTAATCCTAACGATTATTTAGATATGGACTATTATCTTGGTAGAGTTAATGACAGTCCTGAATTAATGTATAACCTACAGAATGGGGAGATACCTTACGCGCAAGATGATTCAGAAGAAGTGATAGATCCTGCGCCCAGACAGTCTTATAACATTAAAAATACTATTAGTAATATTCGAAAAAAGGTGAATTTACAAAAATTGACTGACAAAAATAAAAACGATAAATTAAAAGAAAACCAAAAAATAACAGACAAAGTACTAGCACATCCATTATTCAGAGTTCTTAATAATAATCTCGTTATTTTTTTACCTAGAACGAGAACAAAGAATTCTGCCACTCAACATTCCAAGGAGAAAAACATTGCAGTTGATTACTACTTTAGCAGAATGAGTTCGGGTGAGTGGCCATTTTTCGAGGATGATGTTTCTGAGGTGTCTTCAACAAATCAGAAAGCTAAATTTAAATCCAGTGAAATTACCGATCATGTGGGAAAACATATCTTTAAAACTGATACAGAGGGCGAACATAGAGTAATGCAGGAAAAACAATTTCAAATCCCGCTCAAGTTAGACAACGTTTTGAAAATTGATCTAGCCATGAAAGACAATAAATCGAAAGTAATATTCAGAAAAGTTAAAAACACCATAAAAAAAGATGTCGATATTTTATTAAATGCTCATTTGAATGTATTAAAAGATATGGTTGAATATGATAATGAGGGACTTTTACATTTCGACTGGCTTGGCAGTACGGTCGACGTACAATCTGCATTGAAGAAATTGATAAGTTTGGCGTGAGTAACATTTATTAATATGTTCTATGGTTTGATTAACTACGTTTTATTTGGTTAGTATTTGTTGATGTGGCAAATACGCTTTATAGTACCGTTCAGACTATATTTTTGTACGACCTACATTCATTATAATCATTGTTGGTTGAAATTCGAAATAATAAAACTTAGAATTTAAGGGCCGAAGTATTAAAAATAGTATTGAAATGTTTAGTAAAAAGATTAACATTATTCTTTAACGAAACATGAACTAAAAATCTGGATTTTGGTAAGAATCAAAAGAGCGAATGCAGATAGATGTCAAGATATAAAGGTGCCAGGAGGTCTGTAAAGCGAAACCGGAAGATGTAGGTTCGAATCCTATATACGTTTATATACGTCAAAAAGACGATTATTAAAACAATAAAATATCTAATGTTAGACAATCGGCATAAACTGCTTAGTAAATACATATAGCTTTAAGCACCCGTGCAACATGTCGTAAGAAAAAATAATATGAGGGAAAAGGTTAATGTTTTACGTTTCATATTAGTGCAATATGATTTACGTTATATTTAAAACATTTTATAATTAATTAATTAATGGAAAACGGTGTTTACAGCAATATTATGCATGTAAGGGACGACGTGCATCGATCGGACAAAGAACTTTTCAGATACGTCTTGTTCCTTTTCAAATCCGCTCTTAAGACTCTCATAGAGGCTGAAGAGTTTAGTGCAACGAACGATGGAATACACAAAACATACCAACGTCTCTCCAAGAGAAAGACGCTAATGCCAATAATTAATACGAAACAGTTCGAAGCCTGGAGGGAAGTTAAGAAATACATGAGAGAAATGAGGAATCTTAACATCGACATTTACGATTATCTTTTAAACCAATTCGAGTACTTCTTAATAGATTTAAGCGATAGTTTGACCGAGGTGAGTCAAGTTTGACGTTGTTACATGAAACAAAATGAACATGCTAAACTTTTTTTTCATCACTTTTGTATTTGTTTTGAAACATCCAGATTCTTTAGAAAATTTTGACTAATCGCTGTGAATCTGGTTTTCGCTTATAATTATAATTTTTCTTAAATTTTCATACGCATTCAGAACTTTATATGAAGATAAAAGCAATGGCGGTCTCTTATCTCTAATGAAAAAACTTTATTTTTGCATTTAAACATTATGTACCACCATGTAAATACTGATAATATAAACCTGATTGAATTTATGTTTTTCCCCTCAGCTTCACGAAACAATAAAAGAGATTGCCGTAGTGACCAAATTCAAAAGACAACGTTGGTATCAAGATTTGAAAGATCTGTACCTATCACCCATGAATAAGAAGGTGTCGCTTTATTTACTGCTGCACCTGGCAAGCTCCAGACTCTTTGGACTAATAGAAGAAAGCGCCAAGAACGGCGTAGAAGAGAACTTGATAGACTACGTACGAACACACAAGGTGGAAGTGGAGAGAACAAGGGAAGGAATTTGTCTTTGTGTTAAGGCTGCTGAAGGAAATAAATAGATTAAAAAATTGAAGTTGCTTATGATTATTTAACGAAGTGCCGACCAAGTTCATAGTAACAGAAAAAAAGATGTTGCGGATGGAAAAGTATATATGGATGCCATACATACAAACGGTATCCAACGGAAGAAATGCCTGTTTTCTTTGTTTGACCACTGTTTGCATGAACTTCTAGGCATAATTCTAGGCATTTTGTCCAGGGGTCCTCTAATACTGTAAACATCTAGTCTTGGGTCTCTGCGAAATCGAGATTCGACAGAAAAATACACATTACGTCACTGTTTTCTTTTATCCTACTACTGCATTCATTTTTCGAAGTTCATTCATTAACGACACTGGAAGTTTCGATGTATATTAGAGATTAAGTACATGTTTTATAATCTTCTTTTACATTAAAATACAACAAAGCCTGTAAGCAGCCCAGAATGACCTTTATTGCCGATTGATTTAGAAATGTTTTATTGTTTGCAGACCTAAAGGAGACAGTTCTTTTTTCTATGGACGATGGGCCCACTACAAATTGTAGTGTTTACTATCGAAACATACCTCTATTTGTTCCTTATAATCGATAGATTATAGTGGTAATATTTATTTATCATTATCTAACCGGAACACTGAAAAATAAACAACAACTATTGATATTTAACGCAAAATATCGAGTGATTTCCGACTTTCTTCATATTTTGCAAGTTGGAGATCAAATGACTGAATAAGCTCTGGTGTAACAACTTGTCTCTTGTCACGTTGAACAGCACGAAGGGTCTTTTCACTTTTATACCCCTATAATAAGTTACTCTATGACAGCACGTTATCCAAAAAGATTCGGGTCATCTTGATACCGTGGCCAAGCTAAAAACCACACAACAGACATGACGTATGCACAACATCCAACAGTGCGCCTTCCTACCTGACAGTTGCAACAGTAGGAATCTATAGCGGAATGGGTATTAGACACTGATGGGTCTGTGCTGATAAGTAATCGTATCGTATCAATAACATTGCTAAGAGCAAAACGACAGGCGTTTTAAAGGATCATCATCACATTCTTTATGTTATTTTGTATTTCCGGTTAGAACAAAGTGTAGTTTTTTTGCTAGTTTATTACACTTAGTTTATGCTTTCATTTGGTACAATTACAATTAGTAAACACCCTCGAAATCTAGTTAGCCCAAAAAAAATTGTCTCTTTTGCTGCAAAATGCTAACATTTTGCTAACCGTTTGAAAGATGCCCTTTTTGTAATTAATACCTTCTTTTCTTTTCAGTTAATATGCCACAAAAATATCAAAAGCAGCAAAGATATTTAAATCTTTTTCTTTTTATGTATAAAGATAATTCTTTTTCGTTTGTTTTGAAATTTCTTAAAAATGTTTTACACCAATATTGTGGAGACATCTAGGATTAACCATGGGTGATCGCTAGCTTACTACATTTATCTATGCTAAATCTTCCACAAACATGTAACGAACTCACGAATGACAGCAAAGTCCATAATACATACAGTAATTGATTAGAAATTTAGATCCAATCTTTTTGTAATCAATCACGTTTACCGAGGGGCCATACGTCTTAACTCTAGAGTAGACCCGAAAGTTTTAATTTGCCATCGACGCCATCTATCAACAAAGTAAGTAAATATTTAAGCTCGAGGCAGAGTCATCTATTGAACAATGATTGTAGTTTCATTCAATAACTGTAGAGTCCAGCAAAACGGAATATTGAGGGAAAAGTTTGCGTATGTCTGCTTTGGTGTAACCAATCTCTTTGACCTGCGCATTCAAAACGTTTACTGTGATAGGGCCACGCAATAGTGTTCGCTGTTCCTCGAATGGGCAGGTCCGTCCGGGTAAGTACCACGACCTCACAGAAGACCGGCCTGAAGTGGGAGTTTCTTTTGGCCATTGAGGTAGCTGGGGCCTTACGGGTGTTGCAAATGTCCATGGGCGGCGGTTATCATTTAACATCAGGTGAACCGCCAGCTCGTTTGCCACTTTCGCACATAAAAAAGTAAAAAAAAAAAACTCCTTGTCTCCATCTGTCACAGTCCCGTAGAGACCCAATCGACCACTGATCAATCGGATATATCTCTCCAGATACAAGCCACTGGCTTAGAATGTAGAAGAAGCTAGCTAATGATATTTCAAGATATTTCGTTCACTGGCTGGCTGACTCGGTGGCGATAACTGAACTAAAAAAAACCTTATATGATATACGAATTGGTGTAGCCAGAGGTGAGTGAATTCAATAAAACACAACAATTCTTTCATATTTTTATTCGTATCACAAAATCACAAGCTCACTATAAATTACCCTAATATGCATATAAATAAAAATTACAAGGAAATAAATTATTTACTTGATATATTATTAAACAAAATGTTTCAATCTATCCCCACGGCATAGTTAGTGATAGACAAGCCGACTTGTCCATATTATTTTATTCTCCTATTTCACATTACGAAATGCAGACGTTAACTCCGTCGCCATAATACACAAAATATTTACAATAATATGAACTTATTTAGTGGTGAATAGTAACAACACTTCGGTTTCAAGGTTACAAGTTACAAATGTCCGGGCGTCTCTCTCTAACCTTTGCCTTTGTATGAAATGCAAGATTATTCAAATACTTTTTATCGTTTATGTTTCTAACAGGTTTATATTCAAACTTCAATTTTTAAAGTTCAGTCAACAAATATTAAATAGTGAATAGTATAAATCGCATAAATATGTGGAAGCGCTAGCGTTGAACCGGGATAATTTAATGTTCAAAACTAATATAGTTAGTTATTATGTAACAAACTGTATAAATTACTTATACATATATTAATTGTCGTGATTAATTAATTGAAGAACACTATTGAAGTGGTTTTTATCAACAAAATTAGCATTCCACAAAAAGAGACTATAAGGTATGTTGTTTTTTTTTACTTACTTGGAATGGTTCAACACATTAGAAATAATATAATTATAATAAAACGCTAAGTACCCGATTTACCATCAGTGCTAAAGTATATTCCTCTTTAAGATTAAATTCTTACCACCATATTTATAACATAATTAATACTACTTGTTGTAGGCAACCTTTGGTTTAGTCAAAATTATTATTATAAACTATTTTTTTTTCTTTTCAATCTCTCTGTCGTAAAATATTTATAAAACAACTATGGAGTGTAAACATATAAGATAAACACTGAAGTCTCACAGATTCTGGCGCGATTTGGTCAATTACTGAACCATTATTGTATATCTTTTTGTGGACACTTTTTTAGCCAGACATATGAGATATATCTTCTTACACTTTACACTCCATAATAACAACTTAAAATTACAAAGTTATAATGTTTAATTTACAAAATCGCTTTGATATTAATAATCATAAGCACCATGTCCAGATAAATGTAATATTGCTAGTGGCAAAATAAATGATAATACAAAAAAAAAAAATAGCGGAACAGATTATGTTAAATATTATGTATACGATGAACGAATGATTGTTTGAAGAAAATAGCCTCTTTATAAATATGCACATAACATGTAGGCTATGCGTTTTAATCGTTTTTAAGAACAAAGAATCAATCGAATTAGTTAATAACTTGTTAAGCTACTATTTATAATATGCTGATGTTCTTACTAGTGTTTATTGAATTGGTGAACGGTTTGATCCAGTCATCAATTCAATTATAAATCTATAAGACAAATATTAAACACAAGAGTAAATAAGGGGACAGTTTAACTTCCCAAGATTTACATACGATCATCGCTTTATTAGGTACTCACTCAACTCTACAACTTAAAGTTGAGACAACTAAGCCACCGATTTAAAAAATTAATTATTTATTTATTAATAATGGTAAATATTAATTACATTCATGCTGTGTAGCTTTGATTGTAATAAATAAAAAAAATAGCTTTATTCTTCAGAATTATTTAAATTTACGACCATAGACTAAACGGTAATGTTTATATTATTGATTTTTTTCTGTCTACTCTCACTGTACATGGGGAGGGAAAGACCTAATATCTTAAGCCTCAGTTTCGAAGTCAGCCTCGATCTCCTCAGGAGTGCGCAGGTCTATTGCGAACCGCTTCTTGAGGTTGGGCGGCCTTTCGTCCAACTCTGGACGGCATAAAAAGCAGAAGAGTAAAGTAACAGCCTATACAGGGTGGTTTTTTAGACGAAGTACATACTTTGGCATAATGTTAATTGAGCATTACAAATATTAATATCTTATTTTGACAAGAAATAACCGGAAAAATATCAATTCAAACACTTAAGAAAGTTTCTTTATCGCGTTAAGAATGGTCACCCTATTGATAAGCTGTTTGTAATAATGCGTTCAGCGAAAAGTTTTAGTGCTCATGAATAGGTTATTGTATTGAGACGGTAAGGCAGAAATTTCTTAATGTGTCCATAATGTTTGAAAAAATTCAAAATAATCTTTGAAAATAAAATTCGCAAGTACGTTTCAGATTCAGATTTAGAAAAAAGTTCTGCATATGCTCTGTTAATACGTCTGTCGTCTATAAAATCACCCTGTACGCCTCTGTACAGAGGGTGTTAGGGGAGAGTCAGCTAACTCTGCGGATTGGCAAATTAATATGTTTCAGAAATGTTTTTTTTGAACATTGACCTCACTGTAGGATAACATTATAATGAGTTGTAACGACGTTTTATATACATAAATTTCACAAGGACAAACACCCAGATCTCAAACAATTATCAGTGGGTCACACAAATAGTTGTCCCGTGTGGGAATCGGACCCGTGACCCCAGACGCTGAAACCAGTTCCCTGGCCACTGCGCCACGTAGCCATCAATTGTTATTATTTCGAAAATATGCAGGTTTCCTCCCGATGTTTTACTTCACTGCTGAGCGCTATAATTCAGCACTTGAAATCAACAATTTCATTGGTGCCGGCACCGGGGATCGAACTCGGGTCGCTCGACTATATTGAATTAAAGGCGAGCGCCCATACAATGTGCTATCGCGACTCTTGAACTTCATAACTACGCTTAATATTCGTTTTATTCGAAAATCGCGCGTTATATTTTGGCTGGCAGAAGAACTGAACTTTATTGACACGTAATTAACTTGTAAAATAAAGCGATTTAGTTAGTGGTAGAATTATCATCAGGCTTTCACCTGTTTTAGTCCACTGCTGATCACAGACAAGAATCCATGAAGGAGCCTCCATAGAGAAGAAAATAATTTGAATTGTTTGTGATTTAGGGGATCTGTTTAAGCAAATGTTCTCACAGAAGACCAGCGTAAAGTGGAAATATAATACTTTCGCGTTTCGTCTGGTGAGTGAGGTAGCCCGAGCCCGATTTCTAAAAGGTTGTCAACGCATCTGCAACCCTAGGGTGTAGCAGATGTCCATGGGCGGCGGTATTCAATTAACATCAGGTGAACTGCCTGCTCGCTTGGTAACTTTTCACATAAAAACCCTTTTTCCGGAATGAAACTCAAAAGTCTGTTCACAATTATTTAAATTACATAATGAAAAATTTTCGGTACTATGCTTATGAGGAGAAAATCATTGATTTTGACAGTTGATAGCTATTATATTAGATAATAATTATTAGTAGTGGATTCTTTTCTAAATATCTAAAAATGAATTTAGACATACTGCATTCAGTTTTAGAGTCACTCCGCGACTTATAATAGTGGGTCTCTCACACTTACCGGGTGCATTTTGCATCTCTTTCACTCTTCTAGAATAATCTTGGAAAGCCGCTGCCAATGAATAAGTTAATCGTCTCGCTGCATTCCTGGAAATAGTTAAATTTGTTTATAGCTTTTTAATCATTAGTTGCACAGAGACAGCTAAAATACAGAAAATTGTAGAGCTCAATAAATCTTGCCCGATAGCGGTTATTCTTATGTCATTATGTTCTTAATAAGTATATGTTCTTAATAAGTTATAGTAGGTATATTGTATAAAATTTAAAGCATTTTTAAGACAATGAAGGGATCGACAGACCGCTAGAAACAAAACTTTTCAAAAGCTCTACTTCTAGCAGTCTATCGATATATATCAACTGACAGTTCTTTCCAAATTCCTATTCTAAACGTTAAACCCCTTATTTATTTATTGTTACTAATTTGGAATTTAACGGTGGTAGGGCCACACAACACTGTTGCACGAATGGGCAGGTCCGTACGGGTGAGTAACACGACCTCACAGAAGACCGGCGTTAAGTAGAATTGTTACACTTCTGCGGAGCCCACTTTATTCAAAGACATTTGCAATTCAACGGGTGTGACAGATGCCCATGGGCGGCGGTTATCAATTAACATCAGGTGAACCCAGCTAGTTTGCCGTGTTAATTATTGAAAGGAAACAACGTGAAGTTGGCCACACAGCACCTTGCGCTGTGAAGTAAGAAGACTTTCGCCTTTCTTAAGGTGAGTGAGGTAACTGGGACCCACTTTTTCAGACGTTAATAAAGCACCTGCAACATATCAGGTGTTGACCTCCATGGGCGGTGATAATTGCTTAACATCAGGCGAACCCTCTGTTTACTATTTTTTTTATAAAAAAAACTCGACCAAGTGCGAGTCGGACTCGCGCACGAAGGGTTCCGTACCATTACCATCTATAAAATGGCAAAAAAATCATGTCTGTTGTATGGCCCACTTAAATATTGTTTTATTCTGATTTTTTATTATTAAATTTTATTGTGGCAACAGAAATACATCATCTGTGAAAATTCCAACTGTGTATCTATCACGGTTCATGAGATACAGCCTGGTTCCAGACGGACAGAGAGACAGACTGCGGAGTCATGAAATAGTTTGGTTCTTTGGGTACGGAACCCTAAAAAGAATTTCGTGAGAAGATCAAATAAGAAAAGGTTCCATTTTGATATTACATCACGTTTATCTGTATTGCTGCTCCATTTTCCAAAGATAAGACACGTCAAGTGGTTAAATCCGATGAAGTTTTTGTAACTATCACCTTTGGTTTCGGTCTGCAAGAAGTGTTAAATATCTATTTAAAATAAATCACTTTGACTCAACTGCCAAAGTTTCCAAAAATAATGTACAACTGGTTTTCTATGGTTTAAGTATCTATACCTTAACTGATTATCATAATCCGAGCGAACCACAATTTAATTTTGTAACTATTTATTTAAGGCACTCTTTTATTTCTTATTACTTTACTTATTAATTTCTTTTTATTTACCTTTTATTTCATTATTTATAGTATTAATTTGTATTATTCTTGTGATGTTTAACTGTACTTGCTATTGTTTCATGTTACCTATAGTTTCTTTTTTATTGTTAAGATAAGATATAGTGTAAAGAAACGTTGATAGGCCTTTTAGAAAAAAAAAATATTTCTGTTAATATTCTTATTAAATTCTTATGTTACATAGCGGCCCCAACGGAAAAGATAAAGTTATATTCCTTTATTTGATGATTAAAGTGTGCGAAATCTTTAATGAACGATAAAATCTACTATCGATAAATTGATAATTTTAATAATATTTAAGGCAGTGGTGGAGAAGTTATTAGAGACGTCGACTTTTGGATCTCGTGGATTCGAATATTAGAAGGGCGCACCGGTAAGTTGAAAAACACACTGAGGTATTCCATACGACTAAAAACCATCTTCTTGTATGTTGTTCAAATGAACAAGATATAAAATTGGGATTAAAAACTGAACGTTAACGGACTGAACACGCTCTGGGTGTGGACCGGACAAAAATTTGAAGCAATTAAAATTAAAGAAATAATTATGTTAGATTTATAAAATTAAATGCCTCATGTTAAACGTTATTAATTAAGAGTCCATATTATAAAGAGTGCGTGTGTGCATACACTAGATGGCGTCAAGCATCGCTATTCAGTATATCAAAAATGCTATAAAGTGGATAGAAGTAGAGATTTTCGCGTGAATGATTTTCAGTGAAGAAATCGACCGTGTAGCTTAGTTGTAAAAGTATCAGGGCTCGTTACCCGGATTTTTATCATTTTTCCACAAAATTGACATTTTAAGTATCTTTACAGATGTTATGTTCTAGTGTAAATTAAGTACTGTAAACCTAATTAGTGAGTTACATTGTAAGAGATTGAATTAAACTTAGTTTATGACAGACTAGCTACTAACCGTGGCTCCGTCCGCGCGGCCACAGGGAATTAACAATGAGTTTTTTATTTCACACCAGAATATCTCGCAGTTTGCTGAATTTTTTCCTACTTAGTTGACACTTATCTTTACCTATATTTTGGAAAATTCACACAATATCTTTATAAATTATAGCCATATATATTTACATATATTTATATATATGTCTTATTATAAGACATATATATTATATATATATATATATATGTCTTATTATGATGAAAAAATCCATTCAGTAGTATTTGCGTGAAAGAGTAACAAACATCCATCCATACATACAAACTTTCGCGTTTATAATATGAGTAAGGATTAGTCAGGATTAGATTACCTGGACTCGCAGACGAACGCGTGGCATATGAAGGGGTTGAGCCCCTTGGGGTCCGCGCTGTCCCTCACGATGATCATGGAGAAGACCCGCGTGTACACGAGGTCCTGCACGCCGTACGAGATGGCCTCGATGTTGAAGAACACCGACATGTGCTCGAACTCGTCCCGCTTCGACGCGGGCACGGTCTCCAGGTGGACGCCGTCCACGCTGATGGTCAGCCTCACGATGGGCAGGATCTGACCTGGAAGTGGTGGACGCTTTTTTATATGTGATAAGTTGCCACCTGGTGTAAAGTGGATACCGCCGCCCATGGACATCTGCTACACCAGAGGGTTGCAGATACATTGACAAACTTTTGAAAATTGGGCTCCGGCTACCTCACTCGCCAGACGAAACGCGAAAGTATTATACTTCCACTTTACGCCGGTCTTCTGTGAGGTCATGGTACTTCCCAGGACGAGCCTAACCAACACCACCGTGCAACAGCCGAGGCTGCTGCGTGGCCCTACCACAAATGCACAATCATCGAGTCATTTCAGTTTATTTGATAAAGCAGTTGTTTCATTGTCGTAGGGTCACGCCGTAGATGATACATATCTACTGAAATTAGGAAAAAACAAAAAGTCTATGATAAGAAGTCCGAAGGAACGTCACTATTCATGCGCTCCTAGTAATATAGTAAAACATACCCGTGCGTACAGTGGGGAACTTTATAGACGTGATTCGAATGACGGCTAAAATTTAAATAGGATAGATTGGGCGGTAAAATCCCAGTAGTGGGACTAAATGTACCTGGTGGTAGAGCCTTCGCTGCGGCCACCATCAGGTCGACGGGTTTCCTGGTGTGCTTGATGCCCCACAGGCCTCGTGCCTCACTCTGCCCCAAATATTTCACCTGGAATCGTGAAAATATTATACAATATTTTTTTATGTGAAAAGTTGCCAAACGAGCAGATGGTTCAACTGATGTTAAGTGAATACCGCCGCCCATGGACATCTGCTACATCCGAGCGTTACAGATGCTTTGACACCCTTTTGAAAATTGGGCTCCGGCTACTTCACTCACCAGACGAAACGCGAAAGTATTTATCATACTTCCACTTTACGCTGGTCTTCTGTGAGGTCGTGGTACTTATCCGGACGGGCTTGCCCATTCGTACAACAGCCGAGGCTGCTGCGTGGCCCTACAATATAGAAAAAAGGCAAAAAAAAAAAGATCGAAGAAAAGCATAAAATAAGAAAAATGCTCGACTATTAATGGTAACACCGTGACGAGATGCGCGTTTAAGATAAGACGTATAAGAGATAAGATGTTAAAATCTATTATTCCGCAATGGAATTTTGTAGTAGTTCATACCGAAAGCCAATTGGTACAAATATTTGTACAAGATGACTCCGTGGCGCAGTTGCCAAGGTATTGGCTTCGGCGTCGGGGGTTGTGGGTTCGATTCCCACACGGGACAACTGTTTGTGCAACCCACAGATAGTTGTTTCGCATCTGGGTGTTTGTCCACGTGAAATTTATGTTTGTAAAACGTCCTTACAACACAGGATAGTGTTATCCTAAAGTAAGGGCAGAGTTTTTAAACAGAAAAAAAAATTGTTTTACTTGCACAAATTGGCTTCATTAACAGAAGAGAATTCATCTAGGAAATGCGGCTAGAGATTTCGGATCTAATAAAGTGAGAGTGTAACACTTCTACTTCACGCCGATCTTTGTGAGGGCGTGGTACTTCTCTGGACCTGCCCATTCGTGCAACTGCGAAGACTTGCGTGGCCCTACCACAGTGTTGTCGGAGCAATTGTGCTTAATCTATCGAGACGGTCACTATATGCGACAGTTGACAGCCGAGTTGCTACATCACATTACCAAGTATTGGATCTGGAAGGTTCACATAACAGATCATCAATCGTGGCTTGCGTCACATACATTATGTAACAGTTATAATGCATAATAAATTGACGTTGCGCAATTACGATATGAATGTGCACTCTTTATGGAAGAGGTCGCTTTCGTTAGTCTTCTTTTTTCGCACTCGCGCTTTCACTGCGCGGTCGAGCCTTCGAATCGAGGCACTTGGCTAATGCTTACGTGGATGAATATTCAAAGGCTACGTTGGAACGTCTCGAGTCATTAAGGGGTTCGTAAGCGGTCACTGCTGGCAACACCGGAGCAAATTATGTCCATCGGGTCATGGAGGGAACTCGGAATAGGCTTTTACCAAACTTACCGAGTTGCGTTCACCATCTTTGGCTACGTCGCAATTTACTTACTTACAATTAACCGTATAGTATTGATTTTTTATATTAACGCGAATTAAAAAGCTCTCACCTCTCATGTACTAAGTCTGCCTGGTTTACTGGTTTTAAAGAGGAGTTTAAACTAATGTATTAAATCGGTTCTCCACGCCGTGCCCACCCATTACGACTATCGTACAAATCTGGTCGGCCGGCGCAGGCGAAGCGGAACAGACTTGCAAAATTCATCTCATTGTTTGCGCGAATGTTCGCGAATCTGATATGAACAACTCCATTTTCGCATGTTTCGCGGAAAAACAGTGTTCCGCTGAAATCGAGAGTAATTCGATAGGATTTCATTCACTGCCTTGTAGCACTTTTAAAGGACTATTTCGTATTTAACAATTACTTGTCTATTGAAAAATCTTTCGACAATCATTATCAGTGGAGAAATATGAAGGGTATGACACAACACATATCGTATATACGCATCTAGGAAAACGGCTATTTTCACAATGCGGTTGCATTAATGTGAGGCGATAAAATCGCAAATTCGTGGGATTTCTGTTGAAGTAAATTGCGCGAGTTTTAAATTTCGGTTTCGCAAGGCGACATTGTTTTATGTGGTGGCGCGCATGAGTTTTTTTTTAATTGAACTTGTGCGGGGCCGTCGAAACGTCATCATCATCCTCCTGCCCTTATCCCACGTTGGTGGAGTCGGCACAAGATGTGAAGTATGTCGTAGGCGCTTTTGGCTTTTGTTTTTCACGACCGCCCGCCTGCCAGACGTCAACCCTTCTTGAGAAATAAACACCCAGATCCGATCCGAACGATTATCTGTAGGCCATACAGAAACTTGTTCCGTGTGAGGATATCATCACTACATACTATAAAACAAAGTCGTCCCGCTCTCTGTCTGTCCTTATGTATGCGTAGATCTTTAAAACTACGAAACGGATTTTGATGCGGTTTTATTTACTAGATAGAGTGATTCAATAAGAAGGTTTGTATGTATAATACATTGCACCTGTGCGAAGTCGGGGCGGATCGCTAGTATAATATAAAAATCAATTTATTCCTATATCACTTATCGCTTAAAATGTACACATGTTGATCTCTAGTTAATTTTAGCGATTTACATAAAAAAATATGAGTAAAAGTAAAAATTTTCAAAGGTCAATCGAGTGCATGAAGCCATGAATTCATCGACATCATGAGAACACCTAATTTAGACGAGACTATACTCATTAAAGACAATTAACGCGCTAAAACTGAATTGGATTAAACGCCAGTACAATTCACCGTTGCGTCATATTATCAATGCTGGTCGCGTGGCCCGAGTCACCGTGGCCTACACTCCGTTTTTATGATCGTAGCAGCTTCTGTCTCCTTCTTTTATGTATTAGAAATGAGGCAATAAAGAGCAGGATGGTAGACATAGCAATATTCGACCCTTTAACCTACTGCAGCGGTCAGTTCTGATACGAGTAATGTTTTAATCACCTATACCCACGTTTTAATTTTCTTTCGGCTTTCTCGGTGATAAAATTCTTTTAAATGATAATGACACTAAAATCAGCGCAGTCTTTGAAGGAATGAAGGTGTTTCGAATAACGTTCCATCTCACGCTTTATAAGCAGTTAGGGATTTCACTTATTGCAGAAGATAGACCACTTACTTGAAAAGCTGTCGGCAAGTCGTCCACATTGACTGGTCCCTCGTTTTCCGCCATCTTTGAAGTCTTTTATTTCACATAATATGCCAAATATAGCAGCGTACTGTATCAATCACAGCATAGTGTAATCCTGAAACAAATGGAAATTGGTTTATTTTTATTGCCTTATAGTAATGAAGACACCACTACTGAAATACTTCGCCACCTTAACTAAACTTAAACGTAACTTAGACATGATACAAAACTACTTAATTTTTTGTGCTTTAATTTCGTCATCGAAAAAGTTTATACCTGCTGACCCCCTCAATTATATGTCAAGATCGCGTCTGAGTTGACCGTTAATAAGATAATTTATCTTAATTATAAATCGTTAATTAGACTTATTATGATCGTCACATAAACACAAGTAATTATAATATTAATTAGATTCATTAAGACCGTAAACTAAACAAAATAGTTATTTCTTTATTGATGGTAAAAAAGGCGTTATTTGGTACGTATTGTGCTAGCGTGCTAATGCTAATAACTTAATGTTAGCGTTTCATCATCATCGTCAGCTGTAAGACGTCCACTGTTGAACATAGGCCTCCCCTCCTTAGAACGCAAAAGCGTTTATGACCATAGAAATGGGTGGCAACATCAATGGTACTAGCAGAGAAAAAATCAGAGAAACCACGAAAGGTGTTTTAGATGGGCTTCGAATTATGTGATTACGGCTACCTCATTCTCTCATAACTTTCCTTCAAGTCCACATTACATATTACGGGATGCTGGCCAAAATATCTGTACTGGCCAAACCAGGAGTCCACCGCTGAGCTAGCATTGATGGTGCATCAATTCCAGAAGCAGACGTAGCCGTTCATTCATGCGATATTGAAACTTGTTGGTGTGTGATCGAACAATTGTAACTCGCACCCCCCCTTTATTGTGTATATATAATTATAACTTATATATTTTTTTCCCCATTATATGAATAAATCATATAACATCATTACGTGACCAGGATAATTTATTGATCTTTCTATAGGATCTTTCTAAAGGTAATAATTAGCCGTATAAAATATTATTGTGATCGTTCATATTCGGTAGGACCTCATTTACGTTGTGTATAATTAGTAACTTGATTCTTTTAGGTGTATCTTGGATAGATAAATATTCACTAGTCGTGGTATAAGCCAGAGATAATGCTAGATTGCTTTCTTATTAAATAACCCCGACTCGCTTGAGACGGGCTCAGAGTATATAGTATACTCCCTCTCACGCTTGTAAAGGGCTCACAATATAATTTTAAACTAATATCCCTTCTCTCTTGAAAAGGGCTCACATCAATTTTACATACCCGATACAAGTCAACAGCTCCCCCACATTTAAAAAAATGTAGGGAAGGCACACGGCTCCATGAAAACACTCACCAACGCCGTGTGCGGTGAGCGCCAACCAACATATTGCGCCCCCCCCCAGAAGAGGGACAAAAAGTTGGGGAAAGGACCGAAGTCCATTGCAAAGCTGTTTTACCAGCATAAAGAGGGCTTGGCCCCTTGGCAGTGCGTAAGCACAAACTGACCGAAGTCGCGCATGTCAATGCGTGTAAACGTCATACAAGCCGACGACAAATCCAGTCTTCGTGAATGTACGTCAATACGGTTTTGGGCATGTGTTAAAGATCAGGCACTCTGGCCCTATGATATAATGAGCCCTCCGTAAGCGCCACCACTTTTGCCAGATCGCCGCGACTGCAGACGTGATTGTTAGTGTTTTGGCATCACCACCATTAAAAAGGTTAGCACGACATTTCGTCGCAGAGCGCGTTATGAGTCACTGCTCACCCCAAGGGTATGGTTAAAACATTGCACGGCATCGCCGCAGCCTTGAGAGGTTTTCTCCCGCCAGCTACCATCCACATGAGGTAAACGCATATGCTCCACCAACCATTGAAATAGTCAGATATAGCCATAGTTGTGATTTTTATGTTTAGCCATCAGAAGGGTTTATAATTGGCAACATATAATTATTTGTCAGTGTCTCTGACGTTGAGTATAATGTATTTTCGATCAAGTTTGTCTCACCCACCAGCAAGTTGCCATTATTCGTTCGAACGGTGGGAACTTTACTGAGATTCGTTAATAATGATAAAACGTATAAGAGGTCAGACAGTCTGCAGTTCCGTCATCAGGAACCCGACTTGGACAAATCTACTGAGATGTGCATCAAACCGAGACGCAGACTCGGCCATTATAAATAGCGTCGTCTCCCAAGCAAATGTCGCAAGACGCAATGTCACTAAATGCAACATGCATCAATACAACTATCGCAGGTCAACACGCCAACATACAGCCTATCCGCATACACAGCAGACATCATCACCTCGAACCTCCGTCAACCAGAATCATACGATGCAATGATATTAGGCGCAGATCACCCCGCAAATACCACAAGACGCATTACTGCATATAGCCGCACGCATCAATGTGACTATCGCGTAGGTGGCACACCCTCACACCACACCAATATAACTCCAATCAACTTCAGCTCCAAAATTTAGAATATACTCGGAACACACGAAGTGTCCAAACATACTCTTTCACGATCCGAATGATAGTCGACGTATCATAGCGTAAACACTAAGACGCCAACCACCAACGGACCCCCACCCAAGCCAAGTAATAGCCAACGTATCATAGTGGAATACACTAAGACGCAAGCCACCACCAGACTCCCCAAAGTCAGATGATCAGTCGACGTATCATAGTGCAACACACTAAGACGCCAACTACCACCAAACTCTTACTATGCCGAATGACAGCCAACGTATCATAGTGATGGTCACTAAGACGCCAACTACCGCCAGCTATCGATGATATGTCCACCACTGAAGACATATCCATTCATGGTTCCACGTTTACCGTAGACCATATCGTCGTACAGAAGTACCACGCAACTCCATAGTAATATGTCTTATAAAGTCCCAAGTCATTCATTGCTCTTCATTATATTTATATATTCATTATTTTTTCCTCTGAGCCTTCACATATTATTACTTTTATCCATTAGACCTTACTTCCATATGATATTGGTATGGGACGTTCATACAATGTACTTTGACTATAGTACTAAGAGTCGCGATCGACCTCTGTACTTACATATGTGCGGTCATACAAATGTGTCCCCACACGGTACATAATACTTCCCTTAGAAATCACTAAGTATGGAATTGTATTTAATGGACATAATAGTGATCGTATCTTGCTATATTTTTAATAAATATCCTTTTTTGAGTATTTTAAGTGATTTTTAACTATTTTTTATCAATTTTTGGTAATATCATTTTCTTATACTAACACTTATATTTCTTTAATTTAAGTATATATTATTAACTTTTATTGTGATTAAACGTTCTTAAACGTTTTATTTTCATCTTAATTGATCTTTACTATGACTAATTAATAATAATATTTATTATTATTAATAGGTCGTTACACAATACACAAAGGCGTTACGGTCACGCGGTACGTCGGGTAAACCACATCAAAAACGCTTATCGCCGCCGAATACCTGCGAAACTGGCGAATTGCGAGCGTTCAATAAAAATGTAACCGTGTTAAATTCGGTTATAGATAACCGTCTTTTAAATTGGTCGTCTTTTGCCACTCCAAAATATATCAACCTTATGTTTTCCTTAGCAATAATCTAAAAACTAGGAATCTTTGTTAAAGGAAACTCACTGTATTTTATGGACAATGGAACATTGGACGTGTAATTATGATGAGCCGTTAAAGTAAAGGCCCATTTACACGATGGCATTTTCTTGTACATGCAAGAGCAATAATTGCATGCAATAAATTGCGCGCAATAATTGTTAAGACCATTTGTTGTTTAGACAATGCAACTCATTTATTGCTTCAATTTAATTGTATACAACAGGCAAGAAACTGGCACCGTGTAAATGGGCCTTAAGAATTGTTTTTTATTGCATACAATGTACAATCAGAATGATAATTATGATAGTAAAGAAAGGATTTCGTACTTTTAATGTTTGTTGAAATATAATAACCAATTTCTGTGAGTCCAGAATCTAAGCCACTTGTAATATATTTTATTGAACAAAACTTTTTTTACCCATCATGAACCGATTAAAGTTTTCGAAACGTCAGGAAAAATATTTTAATGACCCGGTATGATTCTTTAAATTTATATATCACACAAAGAAATTCACTGTGTAGGTGTGCAGAAAGGATCTCTGTTACTTAAGCTTGAGTAAATTATTGAATAATGAGATTAAACACCATACAGCCTAAAGGAGGAGAAATTCCCGGTAAACAAATAGATAGAACGGAGCATCCGTTTAAATAACTTCGAACCGATTACCCAACGTTCACGTCTAAACGTGGAGGTTAACATAGCAGTAAGCATATGGCGTTCTACAGGCACCTGTTAGTTTTAAACGGACGAGTGTAATCGACACTGGCTCCCCCAAAAAGTTCCCCTCATCGACAATACGACAGGTGCATCGATTTTGTAACATGTTGTGTTATTTAAATTTACTCGAATAAGACGAGTCCTCACCAGCTGAATTTCGGAACGAGGCGGTTCTTTTCTGCGCTTTTATTATATCGACATGAAAGGGAAGCAAGTCGTTCAGAGATCTCACAGGGGAGATAAAACTTCTGAACATAATATGAAGATATAGCTTTGTCTTTGTCTTGGATTGCTCATTTTCAGTCTTTTCAGCTCTTTAATTTCTTAATGAAGTTATTAAATAATGCATGAACAAAATTTTTAGGTATATGCATTAGCACTGGTCACAGTTGTTGCACCATGTAAAATTGCCACGATGTCAAATTGATACAGGGTGTATATGGCCATGGTAACGGGACCATTTCATACCGCCACGCTTAAATACTGTGTAATCTATAGATAACTATTCCATTAAGTCAAAAGATAAATGAGTACACAAGTTTTGTATCACTTGTCCTTTCGATCCAATAATGGCTAACGTGGCAAAGTAAAACGAACACGATTTTACTTCACCACATATAAACCAGACATGTCGAACTGAAGAATTTCTCGCCATTAAGATAATATATTCAATTAAGTATTGAAGCAAAAGGCCCTAAATCCATAAAGGTCTAT